ACTAGTTGGAAATAGATTTCAAGGACAATTTGTCATTAACGTGAAACACAGTTGATTTTCTATGCTAGCTTCTTTAAAGTAGGATTATCCCAAAAGGAAAAGGCAAAGCAACGAATAATATGCATTCTTCCTGTTTGCTTGTTCATTTTAGAAGCAAAAATGTAAATACATGGATAAAATTCTTTATACCTTAGCTATCGACTCTTTGATATATGTTATGGTATGTACTAGACTAGATATTATTTATGCAATGATAGTTGTAAGCCGAAATATGAGCAATCCTAGAAAACAGCATTGAGAGACAGTGAAATGGATCATGAGATACTTAAAATATTCATCAGAGACATGTTTACCTTTTCAGCTGGTGGTTTGAAACTTAAAGGTTTTGTAGACGCTGATCTAGAAGGAGATATTAATAGCAGAAAGAGTACTACAGGATATATATATATATATATATATATATATATATATATATATATATATCTACACACACACACACACACACACACATTCTAGGAGGTATTGTTGTTTCTTGGAGTTCTACCTTGCAAAATATAGTCGCTCTTTCAATGACAGAAGCTGAATATGTTGCAGTTTCAAAATTTACAAAAGAGATAGTATAGTTACAGAGTTTCCTAAAAGAATTGGGTAAAATGAATGGAAACGGTACTTTGTATAGCAACAATCAGAGTGCAATCTTCCTTACCAAGAATCCAGCATTTCACTCTAGGACTAAGCATATTCAGATCAAATATCACTTCATCTGATAATTGCTAGACGATGAACAACTACTATTAGAAAAAATCTGTGGAAGCAAGAATCTAACTGACATGTTAACAAAAAGAGTTACACTTGATAAACTGAAGTTGTGTACAACTTCAGTTGGTTTTCAAGGATAAAAGATAATTTCATTATTTGTCTCCAAGTAGAAGATTGTTAATAAATAAAGACAAACAATGTCCTACCATATACAAGTGGGAATACCTAACCTCCCACCTTGCACATGGTGGAGAACACAAATGGTGGCATAAATCATAGCATGATTTATACTCCTTTCCTCCCATTTATATATATATATATATATATATATATATATATATATATATATGCTCAATGAAGAGTTGTGGGTTAAGGTGTGAAAAACACAAAAAGAACATAAGAGAAAAGAGAGTTTGAGTGTAGAGTTAAGTTGAGAAGAGTTTTCTCCTCCTCTTTGTTTATATTGTTTATTTAAGTGATTAATACAAACTAGTAGCTTCTGGAATAGATAAATTCTTAAACCACGTAAATTTGTACGTGTTTGATTGCTTAAATATCCTAAGACTACATACCTATTACAGGAAGAGTTACTCCGGTTTGAGGTGCACTTTTTAGACTTCTCACTTTTACCTTCCTGCTATACATACCCTATCATTCACGTAATTCACAGGTAACCACAATATTTTTTGACAGTCATACTAATCTTGAATCCTGAAGCAATTTGACTAGACGTTTGGCAATATTACATTCCATTTACACACTTTATAGCGATATCGTAGCATGAGTTTACATAACAATCCATCTTAAGAAAATCATTTATGACTGTTTTATAAGAAGAAAGATCTAAAAACAATTAATGGTCTAATTGTATATATTTTTTATTTTAAAAGTTTTTTGAAAGACATGTTCTCTTTGTTATCCATGTGAGAACACAGCGCGTCGAAAAAGTCACTCCATCCCATTTCCAGGGTCATCGGAACAATAAGATGCTCACTGCAGAAGGGTTTTTCTTTACTGCAAACTCTGAACTCCGCAATTTAGCTAAAGAATGGCTAAAGACAACAGCAGAAGGATGTTATGTGGTAGCAGTTCTCATTGCCACCGTTGCCTTTGCTGCAGCCTACGCCGTTCCAGGAGGTCCGAATCAGAGCATTAGTGTTCCTGTCCTCCTCAATAAACCATTCTTTGTGGTTTTCACTGTGGCAGAAGTACTCTCCCTTACCTTTGCTTTGACAGCAGTCGTTACCTTCCTCTTTATCCTATCATCGCCGTTTCGATTTAAAGATGTCAATCATATACTTCCTAATAAGTTGATGATAGGCTTCACATTTCTATTCTTTTCCGTGGCTATGATGATGGTAGCATTTGGAGCAACAATACTTCTGATGATATACAGTAAGGAAAGTTGGGAAAAAATTACTCTATATGCAGTCTCCTTTATCCCAGTTAGCATCTCTGCACTAGTTTATTTCCCTCTTTAGTCATCACTATCAAAAACCTACAATTACTTGCTCAAGAAGATTCCCCTCATTAAACATATTCTAGCTATACCTTGGAATCTCTCCAAATCTTTAAAATGTTGTTGAGTCGAAACCATTGATACCAACATTCCATGAAATATCCCACATGCAATTATCCTACACTAAATCCTTTCCATTTTCTGAAATGTGATGCCTGGTTATGTAAGTGTTAGCACAAGTATTGGTTTCTGTCTGTAAACAGCTACCCATGGATGATTACAAGTATGATGTGTTTGCTTTCGGTATAATATGCACAACAAATTGGTATAAGAGTATTAGAGAAACTTGAACACTGAAAAAACATGTTTTTTCAGCTCTCTATTTGAAGTTGTAGAATTTTCAAAGTTCTCAAATCTTGATTTTGACCACTTGCGGAGATTCCTCTCGTCAATATGATTTTGGCGATATAGATATCATCAAAATCAAAGTTTTGCTGGAAATCTGCTAGAAAAATCAGACAATGCCCGAATTCGAGCATGAGAAGACAACCATGTCATCTAACACGTTGGCGCTGAGTCATCATCCACATCATCATCAAAGGGTTCACATTGCCATATCATCAGACACGTCATCTAACAGTGACAAAATATTCTCTTGACTAAATAAGAATGTTCTATTGATAGTAAGAGAATATTCCCGTGATAGGATATTCTTTATCAGAGATAGAATACTCCTTCCCTGAGTTAACTCGATCAGATTGGTTTTTTGGCCAACTCAGTGATTTTTTGATCGGTTTTAGGCAGAGTCAAGCTAGTTCCTAGCATTTCAACCATTCCGGACACAACCGTGGTGTCTGTTTTGTGAAACAGCACACCGAAGTTACTGTTTTTGGCTCTTTTAAGCATAAAAGTGCATGTTTTAACAATTTCAGGATCCTATTTGTAATCCAAAAACGTCTTAATGGTTGATATTCCAGAAAAAAGATTAGCAAGAAATGCTAGTATACCTCCACAATATAACCCGGTATCAAGTATCAAATTTGAGGTGGAGAAGTTTGATGGGAAAGGTAATTTTGGCATGTGGAAATGTGAAGTCATGGATATGTTTGTCCAAATAAATTTGGATTTCATTCTAGAAGATAAACCGGAGGATTTGGATGATAAAAGATGGGAAAGGATAAATCGGTTGGCCTGCAGTTCCATCCGATTTTGTCTTGTAAAGGATTAGAAGTATGCCTTTTCAAAACAAAACTCTGCAAAGGAATTATAGCAAGAACTAGAGGACAAGTTTATGAAGACGAGTATAGAGAATTGTCTCTACTTGAAGAAAAGGATCTTCCGCTTTCAGCACAAGAAAGGTACTTCTATTAAAAAGCATTTGAATGATTTTATTAAAATGATAGCTGATTTAAAGAATTTAGATATGGAAATTGATGATGAAGATAAAGCTTTGTTGTTATTGAATTCACTGTCTGACACATATAAACATCTCATCACCACTTTACTTTATGGTAAAGAAAAGATTAAATTCATTGAAATGTCCAATGCTTTGATGAATAATGAGTACCGGAAGAAAGACCAGATTGTTCACAAGGAGTCAATGTCAAGACACTGATAGAGGTACGATATGTACCTGACTTGAAGAAAAATTATGTAGTGCCATATGGCGCATTGGAGGTAGTATTGATTGATCATGAGGATTGAATGGAAAAATCTTACCAAGGTAGAGATGTCACTCTATCAATCTCATTGTTCACCAAAGCATTGGACACATCAATGAATTTAATCTTTTCTTTACCATAAAGTAAAGTGGTGACGAGATGTTCATATATGTCAGGCAGTGAATTCAATAACAACAAAGCTTTATCTTCATCATCAATTTCCATATCTAAATTCTTTAAATCAGCTATCATTTTAATAAAATCATTCAAATGTTCATTCATAGAAGTACCTTTCTTGTGCTGAAACCGGAAGATCCTTTTCTTCAAGTAGAGATGTTTCTCTATACTCTTCTTCGTAAACTTGTCCTCTAGTGCTTGCCATAATTCCTTGGCAGAGTTTTGTTCTGAAAAGGCATACTTCGAATCCTTTACAAGACAAAATCGGATGGAACTGCAGGCCAACCGATTTATCATTTCCCAGCTTTTATCATCCAAATCCTCCAGTTTATCTTCTAGAATGAAATCCAAATTCATTTGGACAAGCATATCCATGACTTCACATTTCCACATGCCAAAATTACCCTTCCCATCAAACTTCTCCACCTCAAATTTGGTATTCGATATCGGGATATATTATGGAAGTATACTAGCATTTCCCACTAATCTTTCTTCTGGAATATCAGTCACTAGGACGTTTTTTAATTACAAGTAGGATCCCGAAATTGTTAAAACACGCACTTTTACACTCAAAAGAGCCAAAAACAGTAACTTCAGTATGCTGTTTCACAAAACGGACACCACATTTGTGTCTGGAATATTTGAGAATGCTAGGAACCAGCTTGACTAGACCTAAAACCAGTCAAAAAATCACTAAGTTGGCCAAAAAACCAATCTGACCAAGTTAACTCAGGGAAGGAATATTTTGTCTCTAATAAAGAATATTCTGTCACGGGAATATTCTCTTACTATCAATGAAATATTCTTATTTTGTCAAAAGAATATTCTGTTACTATTAGATGACGTGTCTAATGACAAGGCAATGTGAACCCTTTGTTGATGATGTGGATGATGACTCAATGCCAACGTGTCAGACAATGTGGTTGTCTTCTCATGCTAGAATTCCAGCACTGTCTGGTTTTTTCGGCAAAACTTCAGCGAGCTCTACAGGACTCGTTTCAACTCCGATTTTTATGATCTTTATATTGTCTAACTTGTATCGATGAGAGGAATCTCCGCAAGTGGTCAAAATCAAGATCTGAGAACTTTGGAAATTCTGCAACTTCGAACAGAGAGTTGAAAAAACATGTTTTTTCCGGTGTTCAAACTTCCCTAATGCTCTAATACCAATTTGTTGTGCATACTGGACCGAAAGCAAATACAAATAAAACACAAACAAGCAAATTTATATGGTTCTCCAAAACCGGGTAAGTCCATGGAGGCAGTAAATTGTATATTATTGGAGGAATGATACAAACACTCAACTCAACCCAGTACAGTCCCATAAAATCCAGTGTTTCACTCTTACACTCGGTTGTTTTTTTTAATTTTCACTTTCTCTCCCTCTCACAATTGCATTATTTTCTTCTGCATTTCCGAGGAGAAATGGAAGCATATATATTATGGTTGAAAAAAGGAGAGGGTGGTTGATGGTAATTAAGAAAAATGTGGATAATTTGTAAATATTGACAATTTGCCACATGATGTTTATCAGAATTATGTGATTAGTTATTGGTTTGTGAATTTTAAGGATTCAAAAAATATAATATTGTGATGCCATGCAATATTTCACCGAGCGTAAACAGTCTTTACTTTCAAGTGTTTGGGGCTGCATTATTTTTAGCAGCAGAACAGTGTGTGTGCGGGTTTTCGTATGGCAGGGGAGTGTAGGAAAGTGGAAAAGTTGATTGTGTTAATTTACCCTTATGCATCATAAAGGCAAATGAGCTGTTTCTAGTACTTTACCCATCACAGACATCATAAACTTCATAATCCGAAGGACAAGAAAGCCAGCAATTCTTGTAACATGGGCGTTTATTTAACTACTGAGTTCTTGATACCGGTCCCCTCTTCTTCCATTCAAGATCAGTGACAGCACATTTTGCTTGAAACCTGGTAAGTTCAATATGCTAAATGATCATGAATCTAGTTATCTAAACTTGGCTAGCAATTCTAAACCCTTAACATCAAAAACTTTGGTGCATAGAAACTTCAAGAGTCATAATTTACAAGTACTATATATTCTATAAGTAATGGCAGTTCAAGCATTAACTCCATGACTGGGATCAGCAGAAACCACCTAGCACTGAATAACTCAACCTCCAACGTAGAAATTATATGTTGTAAAGTAGTGAATCAAGATAATGAATAACCTTTTAACTATTCTGATTGAGGTTTGTATAGTACTGTTTGAGGTAGCATCACAACATACATGGTAGGACTGAACCTTCCGAGCTGGTAACCATCCACCAAGAATGCTGACTAGCAACGCTAACATCTAAAAAATTTATCAATATTGTCCATCGTTGGAATTTACAGCATAAAAACAAATTGGTGCAAATTAACATCATGGAAAACTTCAAGTATAATTCGATGATCATACTCTTCAAAGTTCTTTGACATGTAATAACTCAACAGAATTTTTGGTTGGTGTCTCCTGCCTAGTAGGAATCACTTCTGGTGTGCTTGCTGCATTTTCAAGGATAGTGCCAAAGGCTGGAAATCAGTCGTGAATTTGAAGATGTTAAGATGTGTGGCATGAATTAAAAATCCTAGCTACATCAGAACTTCGCATTAAACAATGGAAACTTTATAGGGATAGGATTGTTTTATCTGGGAATGGAATTCTAATAAAATTAAGAATATTAGACATTAGGACTAAAATTTTATTCTCATTTTTTCAATCCTGGTTTTTAAATTCTACCCAAGAGTCAACTCCCGGCAAATCCTAAATCATAAATTAAGTGAGTTGGCTAAAATTATCTAGAATAACTTAGCCTCAAATAAATAGGTTTTTAAAAAATTTCACAAAGAAGTTATTTTTATTTTTTTTTAATTATGGTTTTTAAATCTAACCTAGTTAACCCCTGAACACATCCATAGTCACAAGTCGAGTGAGTTGACCAAGGTTACCAGCGCAACTAAATTTTTTATTTTACAAATATGTAAAAATAATATTTTTAAAAAAAAATTACAAAAAAATTCGATGGGTTTTCAGATGAGTTTAAAAAAACTAAAAAGAAATTAATGAAGAAATTAGGTCCTTATTTTTTTATCATGTTTTTTAGACTCGACTCAGGGTTTGACCCAAGTAGCTTCTAAGTCACAAGTCGAGTAAGTTGACCAAAATTATCTAAATCAACTGATTTTTTATTCTACAAAAATGTTAAAATTATATTTTTTTATAAAGATTTAACAAATAAAATTAACGAGTTTTGAAAAAATATAACAAAAAAATTTAGTCCTTATTTATTTGATTGTAATTTTTAATTAATTTTTTTCTTAGTTTCATCCCTTAACATTTATTTTATTAAATATTTTACTTCATAATTTTTTTAGATTTGTCTTCTATAATATGTTGTCATAATATGTTGTCAATCTTATAACTAGGGTTATGAATTTAGAAAGTTAACTTTAGTGAACTTCTGTTTTTCTACCATATTTTTTTTAAAAAAATTTAATATTTGGTTAGTTATGAATTAATCTCTGTTATTTTTTTAGTTTTTTTCTTTTAAATTATCTTAATTTCATGTTCTAAGTGGCAAATTGATAAGTTAATCTAAATTGATTTGAATATTTCTTATTATTATTTTTTTTTTATTTTATATTTCAATTTTTTATGAATTTGATTTATTTGGTGTCATTATCCTTCTTCTTTTTTAAGCATTAATCGGTTGTGAATGACAAAATTCTTTATTTAAAAAAAAAAACCTGAGTTTCGCATGAAGGTGTTTTTTTAAATTTTAAAAAAATTAGGCCATCCACGATATATCAAGGGTCATCTATATAGCATATACTACACAGCCCAGCAATAGAGTGGCAAATTCAACGGTTTGAGTGAAGTCATTAAATTAATTATAATAACATTTATTAAATCTAATTTTCCAAACAATACACTCCGAATCATAGAGCTGCTCTTGATCGCTTGGAGCATAATCCCATAAAAATCCTTGGAATATCCAGTGGTTTTTCTCCCACCAACGACAGCACAGTGGTTAGGTGAAGTACTCGCAACAAACTCAACAAGAGAATCCAGACCGTCCATTTACCCCCAACCAAATCCTGCACCTCGCCACGTGTCCACCAACATAAGCCTGCAATATTTTTCATATTGCCCAAAATACCCTCAGACTGTGGGCCAGGCAGCAACTACCTCTCCGGGTCCCCCCTCCCCCCACATGGTCCCTTAATTTGGAAAACTTGTTCAAACCAATCACTATGTTTTAATTTCTATCAAATTAAGGCTTCTATTTGGCCTTTTACACTTTTACTTCAACCTATTTACTTATTAATTATCCATAGACACCGACCACTGGCTGATTTTAGATTGGATTTGAAATCCTTAGTATTTGTGGTTTATTATCATGTATGTTTGTGCATGTATTTATAATTTAATAAAAAAGTAAAAGGGCTGATTGACAACATATAAAAAATACAAGGACTATGTTGGGGACGGAGATTCCAATGATTCGGAACCGAAACACAATTATAGGGTCCTTTTAACACACTCTCACTCACTCCCTCCCTCTTACAACATAAAAACAAAAGGAACCTAGACAGAGAGTGTAGTTAGGTGTAACCACCAAAGATGGCTCCCCCTTTTGTTATCAATGGCGCCGTCGCCGCCTCTTCCGGTAACTCCGCCCAGGCTACTGGACGCGTCGCTTCCGTTTATAGCGAAGTTCAATCTAGCCGCATTGATCACGCTCTCCCTCTCCCTTCTGTCCTCCAGAACCCTTTCCAAATCGTCGACGGTCCTCCTAGCTCCGCTGCTGGCAATCCTGGTCAGTGTTGTCTCTAGTCTCCTAGATCAATCAATGTTATCGTAACTAAACTCTTGGTTAATCAATTAATCTCTAAAGTTTTGATTTTGTTTGGTTTTGTTGTGGTGTGTTTGGCAGATGAGATAGCGAAGCTGTTTCCGAATATGTTTGGGCAGCCATCAGCAATGTTGGTGCCAAACAATGTGGATACTTTGAGCTCAGATCAGAAGTTGAGGATTGGTGTCGTTTTGTCCGGTGGACAAGCACCTGGTGGCCATAATGTTATTTCTGGAATCTACGGTAAGCCATGTTAATGGGTCTGATTGTTGTTTTTATGAGTTGATATTGTTGTGTATGGTTTGTGATTGGTTGGTTGTGGTGGCGGTTTAGATTATTTGCAGGAACGGGCGAAAGGAAGTGTGTTGTATGGATTTAGGGGAGGTCCGGCTGGGATCATGAAGTGCAAATATGTTGAATTGAATGCTGATTATATCTATCCTTACAGAAACCAGGTAAAGTTGTGGTTTTTTATGTTTTTATTTGAATGTGGGATTGTTTTGAGTTAGTAAGTAAGGTTGTTGATTTTCGGGGTCGAATTTCTTTGGGTGTGTGCATGGATAATTGTTATATGAAGAGGAGTAGTTGGTTTAGATGAATTATTAACTGGGTTGTAATGTTTGGTAGATTAAATGATCAATGCAATTTGAAGGGTGTACTATGTGAAAGCTATCTTAAACATTGTTTTCTTTAGTTATTGAATGTGCTTATGTTTCTTAAGCGGAACATGATTTCTGATTTGGTTGTTACTTCTTTTTGTTAGGGTGGTTTCGATATGATTGCCAGTGGAAGAGACAAGATTGAAACACCTGAGCAGGTGCAACACTTTCTGAACTCGCTTGTAGTGGAAACTTTTTTTTGTATATTTTCCTAGTGTTATTCTTTTTCTTTTTTCACAAGACTTGATAGGTTAAATGGAATTGAATTGCAGTTTAAACAAGCCGAAGAAACAGCTAAGAAACTTGACCTGGATGGGCTTGTTGTTATTGGTGGGGACGACTCAAACACAAATGCTTGCCTCCTTGCTGAAAACTTCAGGTATGCCTTGATGGAAGTTTGTTATTGTACTATTTTTCAAATTGGGATAGGAATGCTGCTGGATAAGAAGAAAACTTTTTTTTTCAACTACCATTAACCTTATTGATATCACTTTTGTTTCCTTTAATGTTCAATCAGGGGTAAAAATTTGAAAACTCGGGTGATTGGATGCCCAAAAACCATTGATGGTGATTTGAAATGCAAGGAGGTTCCTACCAGTTTTGGATTTGATACTGCTTGCAAGGTGAGTATAAATATTCTTTCCTATTTGAATCAAAATGCTAAGATATAAGATTTTCCTTATGTTATGCATTATGAATTTAGTTGTTGGAATTACTTGATTGTAGTCTTTCATTAAAATTTGCTTGAAAATTGTATGTGGTTGGATGGAAATTCCTTGTTCGAAGCACAGCATCTTATCTCTGTATATAAAACCTTACAGATTATGAATATGAT